CCCAATTCGAGGCCGGAGGGTTCAATGAGTTTCTACAGAGTTGGGGCATAAGTCACAGCTATGCAGCGGTCGGGTACCCTCAAACCAATGGACAACCCTCTACATTCCACACATATTGTATTCTCTCCGTTCATCATCTTCTTCTCGATGGAGCTTCGAGCTCCATCAATGGCTATCACACCAATATGTTGTACAAATATACCCCTGATATATAATAAAACACCCCGTTGGCATGGTACCGCCGAAAAAGGCCCGTGGTTTTCACCGATTTGGTTTCCACGTTAAAAGTCTATTGTCTATATTTTTGTTGATATATTTTCCATATTTTATACATATATCGTATAGACCAAAAAATACATACCCGGGGGGTTTTGGTCTATCAAATGGTGCTCTTGTTGAGAGAAGAAATAATGCTCAGGGGATATCCTCTCTTCCAGATGGGTTACAAGCATTACTCTTCTCAAAAAAAAATATAGATCCAAATCCTGACCGAGTCAACTCCAAATCTCTGTCCCAAGGTCTCTTGTCCGGATCTAACTTCAGATCTCATTCACTGAACCTTGGTGCTGTGTTGATGACCGGAGTTTACTAAGATCAGAGGAGCGGTAGATTTGGAGAACCTTGCCGGATTCCACTGTGGATCGTCTCACGGGTCACCTCACCAGCTATCGTTGCTGGTCACCTCGCCGCTGACCGCCGTGGGTCACCTCATCCTTGACCGCCGCTGGTCGCCGTGTCGTTGACCGCCACGATCTCCTCTGCAGGTGGCCGGATCTCCAATTGCTGCCGGATTACAACACTCACTATGGGATTTTAGAACCACGATGGAGGTGCGAGTGGGTCCTCTCAGAACCGCTAGGTCGCCCGTAGAACCGCTGACCACCGTTGCTCGCCTAACAGCTGACCACCCCAGCTCGCCTCAAGGCTGACCGCAGTTGGTCGCCTCCCCGCTGACCGCTGTTGGTCGCCTCACCGTGGGCTGTCGCTGGTCACCTCTTCGCTGACCGGCCTGGGTCGCGTCACAGTGAAGCTGTGCTAGGTCACAAGGCTCTAATTGCCACTATTGAAGACTGGATCTCGTAGAGCTCCATATTACCGATGAGGCCGCTAAAAATTCAGGTAATATCCCCATTGTCCGTTGCAGCCCGCAGAAGTTACCACCACTGCAAGGAGATATCAGAGGTCGCCACTGCTTGCGGCCAGATCCCGTGGTACCCTCAAACTAAGCCGTCATTCCGCCACGTCTCAGACAACATCGGAAGCCTTGCTCCACCCCGTCCCTGTCTAGATCTGTGCTCTGCTAGTCTGGTGCTATTTCCGCACGACCTGGTTGCCTTACCGTTGACCGCTGTTGGTCGCCTCACAGTGGGCCGCCGCTGGTCGCCTCTTCGCTGACAGGGCGGGGTTGCACTATCACTCTGCGCCACAGGTTGTTTCAAAGTGAACCATGGTTGGACGCCTCGTAGTTGAACGTCGTGGCTCACCTCGCAGTTGACCACCCAGCTCGTCTCACGGCTAACCGATGCTGGTCGCTTCACGGCTGACTGCTGCTGGTCGCCTCACGGCTGACCGCTGCTGGTCGCCTCACGGCTGACCGCTGCTGGTCGCCTCCCCGCTGACCGCCCCTGGTCGCCTCCCCGTCGACCTCCGTTGGTCGCCTCACTGCTCACCGCCACTGGTCGTGTTGCCCTGAAGTAGTGCTGGTAACCTCACAAAAAACAAATCCACCGATTTAGCTCAATCCAAGCAGAAGTCCATCAAATTGGGTCCATAAATGAAATCCTATGACCCAAGAGCTCCAAAATCACTGCAAAAACACAACAGAATCAAGAGGAAACAGTGATTGGAAATTGACAGTGAACCGTATTCAAAGTTACAGGCCAGCGACCTTCTATCGCCGAGCGAGAGGTAGCTAACTGTCGGTGGAGGAGGAGCGGATTGCTAAATACGGGTCAAAGCTTGGATGGCTCCATCTCGCACACACCTCCACCACGGACTTTCCTGCCGCGGCTCGCCTCGTTGCCGACCGCCGCTGACCGCTGTAGTGTCGTCATGACCGATGCTTCCCAGTTCGATGAAGCCCCATCGGATTTCACGTTGGATCTGCCGAATGTTTGGCGGTCCTTTAAGAGAAAGAGGGGATGTCTTTGAGTAGTGTGCTCACAAGTGAGAAACTTGTTGGAGCCACTTGCTCACAAACAAAAAAAAGACAAAGAAAACTGAAGACGACCAACGTGAGGCCTGCTCCAAACTTTGTGTCATAAAAATCTTCAGTCTATTAGAGTTTGACGTGTGACCTCCAAATTTGAGGGGTCATGCCATGAAGAACTCAAAAATTTTGGATGACGCCAGAAGCAAACCGTGTGAAAATCACTAGGGAAATGCTACAACTGGCTAAGTCCTAAGAGTTCACACCCCGGGATGAGTGGGTGCGTTCTCCCAAGTCATCAATGCAACAAATAAAACAATAGGCAAAGCCTATCTAAGCCCACAAAAGTGGCACCCAACCAAACCCTCACAAATACAACCTCTCCAAGAGAGATTCATCAAAGTCCCCTCCCGAGGTAGGCCATAAACCACCTCGCGGGGCTTAACTTAAGCCCTCGTCCTACGAGGCACAAAAGTCCTCTCCCGAGGTCGGTCCTAGATCACCTCGCGGGGCTCCAATTAAGCCCCCGTCCTACGAGGCACAAAAGCCCTCCCCCGAGGCCAGACCAAAAACCACCTCGCGAGGCGACCAAATCTCTCATTCTTTGAGGTTCCTAAAAGTCCTCCCCTCGAAACACAACGAAGCCATCTCATAGACTTCGTAGTCGCTCGACGAGGCAAGTATGTTTCTAACTTTCTTAGGTACTAAAAGAAGAGGAGCTTAAGGAGTCAAGATTTATGCCTACACTGCCAGAAGCTTCAAGGGATTCCGGTACAAGAGAGTGTCGATTGAAGAAATTCACATAGACAAAGACAGACTATAGTTTCTCAGT